GAAGCTGCACAAGTGTTTCACTTGCATGCCCCTCTTCCCCCCTAATTCAGAGATCAGGAAATTCTTCTTTCAACGTTCACTTGCTTCCCTCGCTAGACGTCTGCTGCAGGGGCTCTAGACCTTCGTTCTTTCGCTTCCGCGCGGACTTCATCTCCGCATCCTCCACAATTCGCCACTGATGTTGCATCCTGTAGTACAGCTCCAGCTCCTTGTGTTCCTGGGCCTTTGTCAAGGCATTAGCGAGCTGGGCTTCCGAATGAACCCATCGCAGAAGAACTCCTGTGCACTCTTGTGCGGCTTTTAGTCCCATCAGCTCGATGTTGGCCTTCTTCTCGGCTCCGTTGATGCTGAACATTGCTGTCGCCAGTTTGTCATAGACGTTGCGTGAGTCGGTGATCACACAACCGGGAACCTTCGCCACGCTCAGGTCCGGATTTCGGAGGTCGGGCTTGCCGTAGACCATCTCGGACCACTGGTAGCGCACGTAGTACAACGTGTCCTCACCGTTGACTGCTGCGGCAGTCTCTGCCGCCCCTGGACTCCTACACACGCGGTCAATCCTAGTAGAGTGCCAGCTCACGGGGCTGATAGCCGCCACTTCACCCTTCAACAAGGCCTCTGAAGAAGCTCCTATGAAGATCCCCTGGGTGCTTCCCCCGTCAATCCTATTCTGGTTGGCAGCGTCCACCCATGCGTAGAAGTGTGTCTCGCCTTCCTGACGGGTGATCAGCATCTTATGATCCTTGCGGGCTTTAGTGTGCTCGAGGAGGAGGTTGGCTTTGACTATCGTCTCTACCGTGGAGTGATTCACTTCAGAGAGCATGAGTCCTACTTCAGCAGAAACATGGGGCGCCACTTGTTGAGCATGCCAGCTGAGGCCTCCTAGAAGTGCTCTGAGCTTCGATTTTTCCAGGTCAGTAGTCGGAGCCTTGCGCATAGACCTCCTGGAGGAACTTAAGTTGATGGCTTCAACTCCTTCGGCATACTTGGGCTGGGATAAGGTAAAACCCTGGGAAGTGGTTTCAATTTGCACGCCACACTGCGTAAACTGATCCTTGTCCCAATCTCCCCATTTGAAACGCTCCTGAATCTTCTTAAGAATCCCTTGCCACTCCTCATCATCGTCTCTTCCCCCAAACAGAAAATCATCCACATGTCCTGAAATCATGCCCCGAGTGACTCCGTCTTTGCGCCACATCCATGCACACGAGTCCGACCAGAGTCTTTCGAATCCTAGGCTTGACAGAAACTCAGCTACCGTCTTGTACCATTCCAGCGGGGCATCCACGAGACCATAGCAGGCTCGCTTCGGGCGAGTAATCGACCCAGGCGCCAGTCCCATTGCCTGGCAGATCTCGTCACATGGAATGCAGTAGAGCTCTGAGGGGTAGGCTCTCCCTTGCAGGAACGCCCCGCTCACATCTCCTTTCATCAGTCGCCATCTTTTGTTGGCAGCTAATTGTAGCATCAGCTGTCGGGTCTGCCTGGTCATTACTGGAGATGTAGTTGATCGGTGCTCGTAGCTGGGGTCCTGGTAGCCTAAAAGCACTGCACGTGCTTTTGGCTTGACCCCCCCGTCATCTCGAACCTTCCACGTGAGTATCCACCTCATACCCACGGCTTGTTCACGGCTTGGCTTGAGCTCGTCGGGAAGTGCTTCAAACGCCTGCGCCGCAATGAAGTTGCGGACCTCCACGCTCTTTGCTTCTTGGAAGCGCTCCCGATCGGCCGGCGAAAGCCGGCGCTCGCTCACTTCCACAGCCTTCCTCTTCAAGGCTCCCACGAAGTAGTTCTGGAGATCCCGTGTCATGGTTTCGAGTCCCCGGCGGCTCTGCGGGACGTCTATAGCCACCTCCACTGCTGCTTTCTCATCCGTCCAGAAACTAGTGTGTTCGGCTATAACCAGGCTGTCTGCTTCACTTCTTCCCACCATTTACTGGCTTGTGTGTGCATGCCTTGTTGAGGTTCTGCCGGTTCTAGACGTCGAAGAGAGCTTGGCTGGCTTGTACCCGCCTCCTGGCCCTCGTCCATCTCGGGGTCGCCCTGACTCACATCAGTCGCTGGCCTTTTTGTGGTGATGCGGTGACGCGCGGGCTGGATCTCCTGCCTTGGGTCTTGGGCTCTGGCCCACTCCTCTGCACTAGGAACCTCAGCAGACACGTCTTGGTATTGATTGCCGCCGACTTCCTCGACCAGACGGGTGAATGTCCAGGGCGTTGAAGTTTGGTCCGTGAGGGCCTCCACCAGCTCCTCCCGCTGGCTGGCGGGTCTTAGCTGTTCTGGGCTGCATTTAATCAGGCTCCGGCCACGCACACACCAGATAGCGTGGGCAGGTCGTCGTTGACCCTCTGCATCCTGCCTTGTTTCCATGGCCAGTACTCGCGCGGGGCCTAGGAAGCGTCCCTGATTGGTTCCAGGTTGCTTCTTGCTCTTGTTAGATTCTTGTGTCCTCCAGAAATACACCAGATCTCCAGGTTGGTACACGCAATCAGGACGCGACCGAGAGTTGAGAGCCCGTTGGATTCGCTGTTGAGCATTCCACTCTGCCAGGGCTTTCTCTGCGGCTGCCCGCAGTTCTGCCTCTCGTCGGAAATCCTCCACCGGGCTGTTGAGGATCGTCCCGGCATCCTCTGATCCGGGCAGTTTCACACACTGTCCTGTTGCATCGGGGCTCACCCCCAGCACGTGTTGGGTCGGGGAGAAACCCCGAACCATTTCCCGCTGGTTGAACACCGACACGGCCGTACTGAGCAGCTCTTCCGCATTCACATCCTTCTCTGTTTGTACCATCTTAGACATGAGCTGTTTCAGTCCTTGGATAGCCTGCTCAGCTACGCCAATCTGCCAATGCGCCTCCCCGGGAATGATATCCAGGTAGATACCATGTCTATCACAGAATCCCTCTATCGAACTTGCCCTAAAGCTTCCCGCGGGATCGAGCCTCAGGGTCTTCGGCTGGCCGAAGTGTTGTATCCAACCTTCCGTCAGGAAGTTAAGACACAGGGCCGCATTGGGGCTTTGGGCTTTCCCTTTTGTAAGGATCCTAGCAGCACGGTACCTAGAGCCCTCATCCACTATCACCATGAAGTTCTGCTGTTCTCCGGTTGTAGGATGCGTCCAGTGTCCCACGTCAGCAGTAAGGGTATGGAACTTAGGGGGCAGAGGTTCCAACGAGGCCACCTGGCGTGGTTGGATTTTCCGTTTCTCTTCGCACACCGAGCATCGAAACTGTTTAGCTATCTCCAGGATTTTGGGATCCGCATTGCGGCGCTTCAGGGCTTCGATCATGTTCCTAATACTTCCATGTCCGGTCGCCGCATGTAGCAGATACAGCTTACGCTTGATGGCTTCTTCATCCTTTGGGTCTTGTCTCTTGAGGGGTCCACTCCAGGGGCCTCGGGCCTTTAGAACATACGCTTGGCCTTCGGGACTCACGGGAGGCACAGGAAAGCCTAGCTGACGAAGGTGTTCTTGGACTTCGGGTCCTACTTTAGCCCATCCCCTGCTACTATACGCGCTCACAGTCACCCTGTCGCCCTTCCACTCCTGTGTTCCATGCCACTTACGTCCCGAAAACTTCACCACTTGCTCTTTGACCTCAAACCTCTGGCCTTTCAACCATTGTCCGTTGTGCAACCTTCGAAATCCTTGCTGGCCTGAAGCCTTCAATTCCTCATCTGAACCCTCCACCCACAACTCTCCCCCCTGAAAGCTTCCTACACCTATAATGTAGTTCCATGTTCCTGGGAGGTTGTGCACATCGCGGTGGATCTTCAAGTGGCAGTTATCATTGACAACAAAGGAAGTACATTGAAGGGGTTCAGGGCTCCAGTGTTGCAAATACGCGAGGACGAACTTGGTCACTTCCGGAAAGGCTTGAGTATGCTTAGTGACGCCATACTGGTTACCGTGGGAGTACAGGCCAAAAGCAAGATACCGGGCTCGGCGTTCCTGGATGGGGCTCCGGTGGTTTGGGCTTGGTTTGTAGGGCAGCTGTTCAAGGAGTTGTTCGCACGCTTGGTGTTGATAGTTGTGGGTCTCTCTAAGCTTCCGGGCTTGTGCTTCGAGGTCACTCCTCAGCACCTCATTCACCACATCAGCTTCATCACTCCTAGCTACAGCATTCCCAAAACACTCCGTAACTCCCATCCCTCCTAGTTCCTCAGAAAATTCCGAAACGAAACCCTGTTCCCTTGGCACAGCGTCCCTGCCTTTAAGACAGCACGCACACTCAGCAACAAGCTTGGAATCACGAGCTTCTCCACATGTGCAGAACTCCCCTTCACCAAAACCTTCCAACAGCTGAGTAACCCCGGCGCACTCCTGGATGGTCCCTTGATGGGACAACTCTTGGCACAGGACACGACCTACCCTATGCACGTACTCGGGAGTGTATCTGTCCTGGTCCTGGGCCCTCAGACCTAAGCAGCTGCCGTGTCGGTACTGTCTACCACACCTACAGGGCATGTCCATGCTTTGAGCCAGTCGCGCGTGCGTCGTCGCTATGCGCCAGCCTTTCTGTATGAACTGTTGATTCCTGGGGTCTCGAAAATTGACCCCGCATCCTTTAGTTACCGCGGACAACAGACCCTGCTTGGAAAACAACTGTTGACACACGGGGAGTCTCCAGGCTTGACTTCGCTCAGGCATTTCGACTGTCACACGGATCCCGTTCTGTTTGCACATGGTGACTACGCACGACATACCTATCAGTCCTTTGAGTTCCTGTTGCCGTTGTTCCAGGACCTGGGCTTTCTGTTCAGGGCTTTTGTTGTTAAGGTTTTGAAGAGCTGAGTATGAGTCGCAGTTTGGGGATATCCATACATGTTGGGGTCTCTCGAGCCTGATCCTATCTAGCTGGAGCTTGAGGCCTGTGCTGGTTCCAAGGTCACACGAGTTCCACTTCCCGCAGCACACTGCGGCATCTTCGTTTTCAGACATCTCGCGAACCTTGGTAGAAAGGGTGCTGTGGGACCTGTTCCCACATTCCATCAAAAGAGGTCGATTATACCCTGCCAAGGCCTGAAAGATCGAAGGAACCACACTCATTGACTTCTCTTCCAAGCTCCTAGCCTTCTGCACACCCAACCTCTGACTAGCAACCTTCCCCGAGCCCTGAACTATTCGACCTTCGGAGTCCTCGCCTTCACTCACTTCGGAGGCTGAGGTGTCACATTCACGAAGGACCGGTCCGTCATGCTGTCCTCGTCGGCGTAGCCCTGCTGCTTCCGGCGAGGCTCGGAACGAAGACTTTCCAACTCCCCCTGAAGCTGCTGGATCATGGCCGCCATCTCGTCCATCTTCTTGGCCTGATCGTTCACCACCTCCGGGGATGATGTCGTGGATTCGGCTGGGTCGCTCTTGGGCTTCAGGAAGGCCTTGCTCTGGGGCTTTGGCATGGGCCGCCACGCGGTGAGGATCTCCTCCGGCTGGTGACGGCTGGCTGCTGCTCCACTTGTCAGCTGGTTCTGCATCCTTGGTTCCAGCCAGCCCGCCAGGCGTCGAAGGCGGGGGTCGCTGGTCGTTGGGTGCTCCCTGGCTGTCTGAATCACCCATTCCCCATAGCCGCGCAGCTCGGTCAGCATCTCGTGGTAGCGCCGGTCCACGTACTTCCCGAAGCCCACCACGTCCATGCTCTCGGCCGGAGTGATGGCCAGGATCTTGTTCATCGCCTTCATCTCGAGCTGCGGTCGCGTCTCGTTCCCGGTGAGCGTCATCTCCAGGCGGTTCTCGCAGAACGTGACCAAGGCCGCCGTGGTCTTGGCCTTGCGCATCTCCCGCGTCAGAGCCTGAAGCGCGGTGGTCGTGGCTTCCTTCTTGGTAGCCTCCTCCTCGCGTCCTTGTAGTTCGAGTAGCCGTTGGCGAATTTCCACCTTGGTCCATCCTGGCGCTGGGTGCTCGTTGTACTTCAAGAGTTCGGCCACCAACTCGGGCTTGGTCTTCCGGTACATGGCTCTCGCGGCGAAGTGAGCTTTTTGCGGTAGAACGCGAAGTTCGGCTTGATGCTGAACGGCCTCCAAAGGATTCACTTGTGGGCTCCTGTGGTGGTCTGTCATCACCGCTGCGAACGTCTTGGCAAGTAGAAGCAAACGACACCCCACGTCTAGTCCTACTCACAACACACATGCATTTCCTGATCTCTTCACTACTACTGTTTGCAGATCGCTCTGTGGATCCGCACCCCTGTCCCGTAAAACACTGGACCTCCGTTTTCCCCACGGGACTGGAGTCACGGAGGAGCTGTCCCTAATCGTTGCTGTCAGCCTCTATGGCCACAAGCGTCTCTAGACTTGGGACCTCCTGCTTTGTACACATAGACCCTCTGTACCAGTCTTCTGTCATGTCAAGAAGTTGGTGACCAGTCGCTGAGCGCTCAGCGCGAATCACACGTCTCGGGTCTAGGGCACGAAAACAAATCAAATCACTGGAAAAATCTACTATGGCTCCCAAGTTCCTCAGTGTTTCCACGGAGAGGAGAAGCGGTCCATTTCCGTGGTCGAGACAGTGAACCTTCAGCTTGCCCTTCTGGTCGTTGGCCTGGATCTGCAAGTGGGCCGTGGAAGCGCATTGGTTTTCTGAGCTGTTGCCAAAACCGAACACCGGGCGCTCCTTCATGTCCAGGCTCGCGATGCCAGGGTTGCCATGCTTTGCATTGTTAATCCTCATGATGGCTTCCATTGCTTCTATGGACGCCAAGGTTCGTGTGGCACCGCCGTCCACAACAGCTTTCCCCTGCTGGACGGCCTCCGTCGTGGTCATCACCCCCATGGCGTAGGCATCCGCGGACTCGGGCACATAGTCGTTGAAGCATATGAAGGAAGAGGTCGCCTCCGGTCCTGTGGTCACCTGAGCCGTCGCCGTGGGAGGCTGAGGGCAGTTTGCCACTCTGTGGCCCACTTTCCCGCAACGGAGGCATGTCATGTTGGAATCGTCGCGGCCTCCACCGCCCATTCCTTTTCCTCGTCCTGAGCCCTTGCCACTGGACTTATAGTACTGCCGTGAGAGCTTGACATCATGCTGTCGGGCTCGAGCTTCTCGGAGTGTACGCTTCGCCTGATAGATGGCCGCCATGGCGCCCTGGACCTCCTCTTCTTGGACGTCCCATTCCGCCTTGCCCTCGGGGTCCAGCTGTTCGTAGGCGTCCTCGAAGTCGTGGTCCTGCTCGTCCTCGGCGTCCCCCTCGGCGTCGTAGTACTCCCCATAGTAGCCACTCTGCCGATGTCCTGACTCTCGCTTCAGCAGTTCGCTTCCTGACCATTGGTTCCTCAACTCTTGGGCCACACGCTGTAAGGAGAAATCCCCTTGAAGTGCAGTTTGCACGACATTCCTTTCTTGAGTCGACAGTCCTGCATC